TGTTCCTCCTAATTTTCACTTGGCTGAAAATTGAGACACAGGGGTAAGGTGTGTTGCAGAAATGAAGGGTGACCAAGGGGTATAGTCTTAGGATCTCACCAGTCTCTGTCCAGCCAGTAAATCTGGTCTTTTTTATGATTTTGAGTTTTGTTCCACATTTTCTACCACTCTGCCTCGACTTACTAGGGTGATCCCTTTCAGAGCAATGGGTAACAGTATCAGGGTCGTGGAGACTGATGTGCCAGTAAAGCTTTCTTTTTTAGAGTATCTCACTTCATCCATGTTGGTGACTTATAGTTTATTTGGTGAGACATTATGCAAATATTTCATTGAGAGTATCTCCAGTTGGAGTACTGATGTGGCGCTGTGAGTTAATGCACCAGATTGCAAAGCTGTTTGAACTGCAAGGTCGGTGGTTCATGCTCACCAGCTGCTCCTTGGAAACCCTATACAAGGTCGCTGTGGGTTGGGATTAACTTGATGGCACTGAACAACAACATAGCTGAGCTGATGTGTCTACTTTAATTTTAGAAATTAAAAAGAGGGTAAAGCAGCACATTCAGACAATACAAATAAATCCCCATTTCTCTTACATGTACTCATAAGTGCATTCTATCAGATGTATGTTTTTTATATATGTGTTTTAAATTCTTAGAAAACAAATTTTATAAATACATACATTCCTTTCTCAGACTTAGCTGGAGAGATGTAATGGATAAAGTTTAATTACACCTCTAAGGAGTCCTGGTGGCATAGTGGCTTATGTATTGGACTGTTATCTGCAAAATCAGCAGTTCAAATCCACCTGCAGCTCTGATGATGGTTTCTGCTTTCATAAAAGTTTACAGCCTTGGAAAACCTATAACAGGTTCACTATGAATCAGAACCAACTTTGGCACACCACCACCAAACACATTTCTGAAACCATTTTTCTGTACTTGCTTCAATCTTCAGTACTTTTGAAATACATTTAACCTCTTTTCAAATTTACTGCAAGAAACCCATAAGCCACTCTCCAGCAGAAAGATGAGATTTTCTGCTCCTGTAAAGATTTATAGTCTGGAAACTATAGGGTCACTATGAGAAGTTAGAATTGGCTCAGTGGCAGTGAGTTTACTGTTGTAAAACCAGTAAAATGTGAGAAAATACATTTCATATAAATTACAAATGTTCTTAATAGCTTTTAGTTAAATTGCCGTCAGGTCAGTTCCAACTCACAGTGACCCTGTATAGGGTTTCCAAGGAGTGGCTGGTGAGTTTGAACTGCCACACTCTAATGTGCTGATAGTTTTAAAATTAGTGTGTTTTTATAAGTAGCCTAGAAAGAACTTTGCATTTAGGTGCCATCAAGTTGGCTTCTACTATAGTGACCCTATGTTCAACAGAACGAAACTGCGTGATTCTACACCACCCTCAGTCATGGGTGTATTTGAGCTGATTGTTACAGCCATTGTGTGTGGGTCTGTTGGCATTGAGGGTTTTCCTCATTTTCACCGATGCTCTCCCATACATGATCTGTTCCCAGGAATAGATAACATTTGGCTTCTAAGGAGCGTTCTGGCTGTACTTCTTTCGAGACAAATTTGTTCATTCTGACAGTTCGTGGTATATTTGATATTGTTTGCCAACATGATCATTCAAATGCATTTCTTATGAACATTTGCCAAATTTCTAAGCATTGGAAACCAATGTGTAGCTGTAGCCTGTGTAATAGAAACAAAATATGTCCATTATTTATAGCCATTTAGATACTTGTATTGGTTCCTCTAAAATTTTGACATCCTCTCAGCTCTAAATAGAGATTTATATTTTATTTCCAAAGATAGTGATGAGTCACATTTTGTTTATATAAGCTTAGTATTTGCTATTTCCAGAAATAATGCTTTTATTAATATCATTATCCCTTATCTTGTCCACAGCAAGATGTCATTTTACTTTGGTCTGGAAAGAAATATATTAAGTATTCCTTTTCCAACAAAAATTTTAATATAGAGTCTCATCAAATTCATTTATTGAAATGTTACTGAATGTATTCTGACTTGGAGACATCATGTGTCAGTGTGGAACTGTGCTCCACAGGGTTTAAAATGGTTGACTTTTTTCCAGATCACCAGGCCTTTCTTCTGGGGTACCTGGGTGGACTCGAACCTCCAAATTTTCAGTTTGCAACCAAGCACGTTAATCCTTTGCTGTCTAGTGATTATAAATTGGTGGTGGTGGTAGTGTGCCGTGGAGTGGGTTCCAACTCATAGCAACCCTGTATAGGGTTTCCAAGGCTATAAATCTTTATGGGAGCAGAAAGCCTCATCTTTCTCCCACGGAACGGCTGGAAATTAGTGGGTCATTATTCATTATTGTTGTTAAGTGCCATCAAGTCAGTTCCAACCCATAGCGACCCTGTATAGGGTTTCCAAGGAGCAGCTGGTGAGCTTGAACCGCCAACCTTGCAGTTCAAATGGCATTGCTTTAATGGTATGTTCTTCTAGCATATTTGTCTTTTTAATAGCGCATTAGGTTTTTAAAAGACGTATGAGAAGGAGCGGTAGAAGCCATTGCCATTTGAAGAGCACTTAGAAATCAAAACACAGCATAAGATGAAATTCTAAGCCAGGTTCTGGGGCCAGGGGGGAGGGGGGTAGTTTTCTTTTGCTTTTTGGTGGAAAGAATCACTGTTATATCCAGAGATATAGTCAATGCTGACTTGGGTATAGGGATTGTCTCTTCATGTTTCATGTGTGAATGTGTAACTAATTTTACAAAAATAGTAGTGCATCAATATTATGTATGGTCTGTTCTTAATTTAGCCTTATATAGCCATTTCACTTTCAATAAATATTCCTTACAAAATGACTGTTACTGCTTATGAAACCTAAATCAGTTTCATGTATTTAAAGAGTGATTGTGTCTTTATTTCCTATTGCAAGTAATATATTTGTGATTATAGCTTTAGATACAGCATCTTCCTGTATAATTAGTAGGATAAAGTGCTAAGAATTGAAAATGTTAAGGGCTCTTCAGGCTTCTGAGATGTGTTGCCAGTTGGCTGTCAAGAAGCGTTCTGTCGTGTGCATTCCCACTAGCAGTCTGTAGCCCGCCAGGCCTCTCTAACAATACTGGCATTAGGAATAAATAATGAGTAGTATTCTGATTTTACTACTTGAATTTGTTATTATCGAGAGCTGTCCAGTCGGTTCTGACTCATAGTGACCCTGTATAGGGTTTCTGAGGAGCAGCTGTTGAGTTTGAACAGCCAACTTTGTGATACAAACCGACCTTGCAGTCTGGTGGTTAGCCTACAGCACCACACCAGGATTATACCAATTTATAGGTCACAAAAAGAAATTACATTTGAATGTCTCTGATTGAAAGTTGAATTTCTAAAAGATGCTTATTGGCTAGCTATACTTTTTTGTGAATTACTTATTGATGTTCTTTGTATCTTTTTAAAACTGGTATATTTATCATTTTCCTATTGATTTATAAGAACATGCATGATTCAATTCAAATAGACGAAAGGTTTGTTATTAAATGATTTTAATGCTGTTAGTGCCGCAGAGTAGGTTCTGACACATCCTGATCCTGTATAGGGTTTCCGAATAGCAGCTAGTAGATTTGAACTGCTGACCTTGCAATCAGCAGTCCAGTGCTTGTGAAGATCTAGTTAGTCTGAAACCTGTACTAAGTTCTTTAACCTTTTATTATTTTATCTTATTAAATCTTTATAGTAATTCTGAAGTTGTTAGATGTCATCAAGTCAGTTCAGACCCTATGCACAGCAGAACAATATGCTGCCCAGGATTACAGCAACCTCACAGTTGTTACTGTTGAACCCATTGCTGGTTCCATTGTGCCAATCCATCTCCTTGGGGTCTTCCTCTGTTTCACTGACTTTCCACTTTACCAAGCATGATGTACTTGTCCAGGGACTGGTCCCTCCTGGTAATATGTCCAAAATATGAGAAATGAAGTCTTGCCATCCTGGCTTTTAATGAACATTCTGACTGCACTTCTTCCAACACAGATTTGTTTGTTCTTCTAGCAGTCCATGGTACTTCTAGTATTCTTCTCCAACACTATAACTCAAATGCATCGACTCTTCTACAGTCTTCCCTATTCATTGTCCAACTTTCACATTCATCTGAGGCTATTTGAAAATACTATGTCTTGGGTCAGGCGTACCCTAGTCCTCAAACTGACATCTTTGCTCTTGAACACAATTCTGAAGAAGTTAGCACCATTTGACAAGTGGGGAAACTGAGTTTCAGAAATGCTAGTAACTTGTCCAAGATCACAGGAAGTGATGATGACACTATGATTTGATTCCATTTCTATCAAATTCAAACTCTGTGTGCTTTCTTTATATTACATATTTTTTGGTATATCAACTGTTGTTTGGGCCCTGGTGAAGCACTGTAGAGTAAGCACTGGACTGGTAATTGCCAAGTTGGCAGTCCCACGAACTGCTCTCGGAAACCCTATACAGGGTCACTATGACTTGGAACTGACTTGACGGCACACAACAAGCTATTCATTGTTCCTAATTATACCTAATTATAACCATCGTTTTTTTCTTTTTTTAGTATTGTTCTCCAGAAGAGTTATTTTCATAAATACTTGAAATGACTGAAAATAACTTGATTTCTAATAGAATTATTTAACAAAGGAATTATGTATTTTCCACTTTACTTTTTGTCCCTTAGTTTGCCTATATTAGACTAAATTCTTACTTTAAAGCTCATTTTGAAATGGTTCTCTAGAGTAAAGCATCTCTGTTCTTTAAAAAAAATTCTAATTCTCTGTGTTTAGATGTTATTAGATATGATGCTAAGATTTTTATCATTTGTTATTTTAATAGACTTTTACCAGAGTGTATTCTATGATTTTTATGCTTCCAACTTAATAACCAGGTACTTTTCTTTCTTTAAGATGATGAGTTTTATATAAATAAATTAAAGAAAGAAGTAAAATAAATAATCAGTATACTAAATTCTTGTTAACAGAACTTTACAGAACAGCATGGCAAAGCTACTCTCAGATCTTAGTATGGACAGTGCTCGCTGCAAGCCTGGGAACAACAGCCTTACGAAATCACTTTTGAACATTTATGAGAAACAACTTCAACATGACCCAATCCCTGCTCACACTTCCATAATGAGCTACTTAAATAAGTTAGAAATAAATCAAAATTGTACACATTCAGAGCCCCTTTCTGCAATTAAGAATGAGAACATGGTGCCAGATAGACCCTATGAAGATGCTGTGCCCTCCAAAGTCTCTCAACATAACAACGCTAAGAGTACAGAGGAAGTATCAACCCCTGGAATTATTTCTACCATTTTAAAAGAGGATTCTGATGTGGAGAGTGAGACCAAGACTTTAATAGAGGATGGGTGTGATTTGGATGATACAATTTACATTCCTTTTATCAGAAGCACTCCTAAAAAGAAATTCCCACTATCTAAGGGAATATCCCCACAGCCACAGATAAATGTAACTACACCACAGCTAGTCAGCAGCAATGGACTTCTCTCTGGAAAGGAAAATAAACTATGTGCACCCACAATTTCTTCCTCTTCAAGAAAGGAAGCAGATGATGCACCTGAAAAATTGTCCACAACAGCTGATATGGAAGACAGGGAGCTCCTCCAGAAAATAAAGGAAGCAATCCAGAAGGTCCCCACTACTGTTGAGGAGTCCCAGGAGCTGACAGCAGCAGGCCATGACCCCTCAGCTTGTCAGAGTAATAACCTGGATGGTAGTTTTCTAAATTCTGACTTGATGTCCGATTGGAGCATCTCTTCTTTTTCAACATTTACTTCCCGTGATGAACAAGACTTCAGAAATGGCCTTGCAGCTTTGGATGCCAACATAGCTAGACTCCAGAAATCCTTAAGGACTGATCTCTTAGAGAAATGAATTCAGAAAACATTGAGTGCTGCCTTTTTTGTTTGTTTGTTTCCTCAGTATCACAACTAGGCTACATGAAATTTATATGTTAAGTTTCTTTAAAGACTATGTTTTCTATTACTAATTATGTGTGAAATAATAAATTACGTGAATAATAAATTTATTATTGAAATATATTGGCAATGTGGAACTTAGAAAAGCAAGTTATCTTATAAAATTGGCATTTGCTAAGAGAATAAAACTGTAGATATCTAGGAATGGATTGTAAGAAATATTTTAGTTTCATACTTAGCTATTAGAGTTTTATGTTAACATGTACCTCCTGGGGTACAGTGAAAATGGAAAGAATTGGTTGTCCTGAACAATGATGAGAAAAGTGTCTGGAGACAATTTAATTCAAACTTGAGTTTCTTTTCTCTTTTAGGTTGCTTAATGTCATTATGTTTTCATATGAGATGTTCTGTACTAGAAACTAGTGTTGGTGAGATTTCTTTTAAGAGAGAAGGTACCAGTATCTCTAGCTCTTAAAAACGTTGATTGGTCCAAGAAAACATAGCTAGCATCTGAAGTTAGCATGTATGTGGTTTCTTAAAAGCTTGGCACTTTTACTTATTTTTATCCTAAATGCATGTTTAAGGCCTTTAAGAAAATAAAGCCAGACGTGATACAAAAGTAACAAGTATGTCTTAGTGATGGAAATATGTTTTTTAAATTAATGTTTGCTGTCCTTTTTTAAACATGGTCATGTTTGCAAATCTTGACACTGGTTGTAATTCTGAACCAATTTATTTTCTTTCTGCAGTAATTTAGCAGAGAATACTCTATTCTGTCCAAAAAGTAAACTAGGCTGGTCTTCCTGACTCTGTATCAGCCTTTCTTAACTATTCAAATGTCACCTCCCTCCATTAAATAGCCACACTTTAGCTCTTTCAAAGTTGAGTGTTGTGCTATCACTAATGTGTTGTACAAGCCACTTGTTGAGTGTAATTGGTTCAGTACCTAGGCATGCTTTAGCATTAAAAGAGTATTCTGCTGGCCCAGTAACCAATTCCTGCTGATTTGTTAGGTGTTGATACTACAGATATGAGGATAACTCAAAGTATTGCTCCTAGGGTTCAGTTTACACATGCATGGGTTTTTTTCCACACAAAAAGTGTTTAGACTTGTCTCTGTGATCGATGAATGACCATAGACAAGTCCTCTTGGTAAATATACTTGTCATAGTCATGTTAGGATGTGTACAAAGTGGTACCAGTCATCCCACCCATAGCAATCTGTACTGAGCTGCATTCAATAATTCACTGCAGTGGTCACACAGAACTCAGACACTATCCTCACAGTTACAGGATTTATTACAGAAGTTAACAGGTTACAAAGCAGGATCAGAAAATGCTCAGGGTGTAGTTCTTTCAATCAGGACACCCTTTCCTCTGCAGTGCTCTCAGCCTATTGGTCTGGCCTCCGCACTGATCCAGAAGTGTTGCGAAACTCTTCTAGGGTAGCTGATAAGTGCTCACAGGGTACACCACTCCACCATAAACCTCAACCTGAAGGCACTTGTCTCTACCCCATGGGTCAGCAGACCTAACTCCCACAATTAAGTGTCTGGAGGCACTGGACACTGCAGCAAAACTCCTGCCCAAAGTTGTTCAGCTTTACTTACGCTATGGGCAAGTGGGCTTCTTAGCCCACTGCTCTGGCTCGTGCTCTGACTCTTGCTCGCACTGTTACAGCTCCTCTGCAACTTGTCCAGCATCACAGCTTTGTGTCCCTGGGTTGAGGAGGTTCAATGTGCAAGGATCTCGGGATCCATAGGACATGCTCTGCTCCTGGCTCTAATTATTTGATGGTAGTGAGATCCCTGCTTTCTGCTTCTGAGATGGTTCATTTTATACTTATGTTAGAGTTTCAAGTTTTCACAGACACAGTTAATTCTGTTAACTACTCACAATAAATCATACAGGCCTATCAGCATATTCTTCCACCTTCTCTTAGCCAAACCCAACAGGGTTAAACTATTGGTGATTGTTATAAAGACTATGGGTAGGAAAAATTTGTGAAGAATTCACTGCACATTAGAGTACCTTCAAAAAAAAGGTCCCATCAAAACTGGCTTCCGAGGGGATCTGTGATAAAATTCACAACAGGTCAGCACAGAAGGTTATGGCCTCTGTTTTTTGGGATTACAAAGAGGTGATCTTGATAGATTTTCTCAAAGGACATAGGATGATCATGGAGGCTTATTAGGAAGAACTTTTAAGAAACTGGAAAACTGCTTTGTTGAGAAAACATCATTGGTGCCAAGAAATTTTTTCCCCAAGATGACAGTGTACCTTTTTACTCTTCAAGGGTAGTAAGGGCTGTCCTCTGATAATTTAATTCGGAAACCTTAACCCCATCCACCCTCCAGCCCTGGTCTTGTTCCTTCAGACTTCCTTTTGTTCCTCAGACTCAAACAGTATTAAAATGCCGTGCTGATGTGTAAATTGAAGGCACAGATTTCTTCATGGAACAGTTTGAGGGAAACGCCATTTTCAAGAAGTGTATAGACCTGTATGGAAGATATGTCATGAAACAATTGCTGCACATTGATAATTTTGTTTAATAAAGGTTTCTGTATTATGTAGTAATGCTTTCTGACTTACTCCCATATACTTACTCTGTGACAAGTCCAGGTTTTACAGGATGTGGGGTTTTGTTTTGTTTATAAAGTAAAAATACTGCATGAATTCTAAACTGTTTATACAAAAGGGCTATTAAAATTTAATTTTTTTCTTATTTTATGTATTTATAAATTATCTTCTAATTGGAAGCATAAGGCCACAATTCTGTTACATAAAATTCAAAAGTAAAGTTTAGGTATACAAAATAAGAAAATTGTATCATCTGTCTACTGCCAAATAGTCATGCAGAAGTAAATACTTAAGGTTGTTATGTGATAATACCATTAAGATATCCCTCGTTTACCCTTACAGGATATGTGAAGGAAATTCAAAAGAGCTTCTGGGTTCAATTAATTAGGGGTTGTTGTTGTTAAGTGCGTTCGAGTCGGTTCTGACCCATAGCGACCCTGTACAGGGTTTCCAAGGCTGTAAATCTTCACGGGAGCAGAACGCCTCATCTTTCTCCCGCGGAGCGGCTGGTAGTTTCAAACTGCTGGCCTTACGGTTCGCAGCCCAATTCATAACCACTACGCTAGTTATAGTGTCATAAAAACTGAAAAAAAGTCAGTGATTTGACCCACCAGCCATTCCATAGGTGAAAGATGAATGCAATCTGATTCCATAAAGATTCACAGCCTTAGAAACTATAAGGCAGCTCTGCTCTGCCCTATAGGTCACTGAGTTGGAATTGATGCAACAGTAAATTTTTAATAGTTTGATTGAAGAGCAAGTGGGGCTGGAAGTGCCTTGAGGCACCTTCACTAGGAGCTTACTGTTTGATATGTGATATACACCCATAGGACGTGAAAGAATTTTAAAGCAGCAAAATGGGTGGTATAGACAGTTTAATAAAAGTTTACAGCAGTAGGGAAGCCAAGAACTGCTAGAGAAAGACCTAGAAGAGAAGAAACTTTGGATCTTGAAGGACATGCATGATTAAGATAATTCTGTGTATATTCTCAGTATTTACCCCACAGAAGCCAATTATCTAATGTGGGAATTGGCTGAGTACATATGAAGATAAAACAACCCTGCTAAAGTGGAAGAGTGGGGAAGGGTGGTAATAATACATGATGATGGCACAATTATAAGAGTTCAGATCAGACTGTAGAACATCTTAAATTCCATGCTGGAGAATTTGAGCATTATGATGGTAATTGAGGGTGTAGGTAACTTTTATGTTGTATCTTATATTGAGATTGTTGAGAGCTGTGGAGTTGATTCCAACTCATAGTGACCCTGTGTTGGGTTTCCCTGTGTTGGATGGTGGGTTTGAACTGCTAGCTTTGCAGTTACCAGTCCACCAGTACATATCCTACAGTGCCACACGAAGACTCCAATTGAAGATTACCAGATGAAATCGAATATATCTAAAACTTCATGGAGGATGGTAGTTATTTAGGACAGGTTAGAGGAAGGAGAGACTGGAAAGCTAGTGCGCTGGTCCAAACCTAAACTGATAGTGGAAATAAAAGAGGAAAAGGATAGAAATTGAAGACTCTTTCTCTGTAGGTTTCTTGACTATAGTACATGAACGTGAAAAAAAATTAAAGATTCAAGGTTTTCAATTTGATCAGTTGGGACACGCTGAGTAATATGTAAAATGAAAAACAAGTTTCTGGGCCAAGAGTTCCAAGTTAAGTCTTGATAACAGCACTGCTAGTGAGAATGGAATGAGGATGAAGACTCAGCCGACTTCTTTTGATCACCGCACCAGGAGTCAATGTAACTACCTCATCGTAGTCTCAGAAGGACTAGTCTGGCCCCTAATCCTAACCTTTTCATAGTGCCTTTTCAGATGTCTCAGAATATGAAAAATATATTAGATGGTGTTGATTTGCCATGGAGTCGGTTCCAACTCATAGCAACCCTGTACAGGGTTTCAAATCGGGCTGCAAACTGCAAGGTCGGCAGTTCAAAACTACCAGCTGCTCCGCGGAAGAAAGATGAGGCTTTCTGCTCCCATAAAGATTTATGGCCTCAGAAACCCTGTACAGGGTCGCTCTGGGTCGGAACTGACTCGATGGCACTTAACAACAACGTTTTTAAAGGAGCTGAAGGACTCATCTTTCTCCCGCGGAACAGCTGGTAGTTTCGAACTGCTGACCTTGAGGTTCAGTATCCCTTAAACTTTGATGGGGTAGATTCAGTGTATGGCGCTGTGGGTTAATATGCTGGTTTGCAAAGTCGGTTTAAAATGCATAGTTAGCAGTTCAAGCTCACCAGCTGCTCCTTGGAAACCCTATACAAGGTCACTAGGGGTCAGAACTGACTCGATGGCACTTAACAACAACATAGCATGTAAAAGAATCATCCTCTGGTAGTTTAGTGACGTTTCTTGGAATA